CTCTTGAGCTACTCTTTTACCAATGAATAGTGGGATTGACCGTCACAGTATAACGCCCCCACGGCTGAAAGGGCGAGCATGTTTGATGGGACGGGGATTCGAACTCGCGACCCGCAGATTGCGAGTCGAGTGACCTAACCGCCTGGCCATGCCGGGCCAAATTGTGCGTTAAAGTAAAAGTACTGATACTTGTTATATTAACATGTTTGTATGTATGTTTTGTTGTTAGTACAAAACTACACTAAGGGTTGGTTAACTGTACTGTACCTAACGCGGTTATAGAAATCCGATACTTAGCATTATAAGCGCACAGACATTCCGCTGAGCTACCGGGATGGGGGGGGGGGGGCTATAGTAGTAACACTAATTGTATAAAGAATTAACAACAACACCGCAACCCCACCTGCACCTGAGAAGCCGTCAATTTTTTTGTTTTTGAGAATATCTATTTACAATTTCAGTGTTCGTAACCTAGGAAACCTTCTGTATCTTAGTGACCAATTAAAGAGTTCATCTTTTCAGCTACTAGCCAATCGATTCAGTTATTTCAATGTACACTTACCTGCAAGAGTAATAGTCCAACAATAAAAGCACTTCCTTGACAATAGCCTACTTCGTTGTCATAGAGGGAATATGCTTTCATCACATTAAACAGTCTTTCTTGACCCGGTCCATCTTTTTCTCGGAAAAACTCATGTTCGGGGTAAGTCCTGGCAATATCACGCCTAATGACTTTCTCACACGGCGAGGTACTTTTGATATATTCAGCATAATTATCTTTAGCAGGACAAGACTGAGCGTTGCATAGCAACTGCCACACAATTCCACGGAAGTGATGCGGAACACCTTTTCTCACCAAATCCTTGAACAATAAACAAAACAAATTGTGAACACCTCTACTTGTATGTTTTAACCTTAAATTATTCAAGGATTCAATTCACAGTTTGTTTTGTTTTTACCTCTGTTAAGGTTAAAACATATAAGTTGAATCCTTGAATAATAACGAAACAAATTGTGAACACCTCTGTTAAGGTTAAAACATACAAGTTGAATCCCTGAATAATAAACAAAACAAACTGTGAATACCTCTGTTAAGGTTAAAACATACAAGTTGAATCCTTGAATAATATTTTTTTTGTAGTGCCCAAAATATTTGTTTGTTGATGGGATTATATAAAATGTAGTGTATTGTTCTTCGAATGCTATAGGTCTTCCCAATATACAAGTGATACTAATCTTAAAGAGCAAATTACAAAACTTTTAACTCAAGTTATAAATCTTTGCATTTAATTTAAACTTTTTTTTTAATTATCAAATTTATTCTGCCATAATTTCTTCAACTATTTTCAACAAAACCAATTGCAGTTTCTCAAAATTATTAAACTTCAAATTGGCTCCTTACCTTGACATAAGAGTTTTTCTTTTTGATATAAAACTCCCAATCGTTAATTATCTGACCCCAGGTCAACCATACATCTTCTTGGTCATCGTCCACGGCTGGACTATTTCCTGAGTTTAAAGACACCTGACTGGAGTGTGTTGAAGCTAGAGAGTTTAGCGATTTGGAGTCAGATTCAATTATCCTGAAATAAACAACGGGGGTTATAATTCATACTTAACTCCTATTTATCGTTCATTGTTATTTGGTTTGCGAGACAAAAAAAATTAAAAACGCAGCACATTAAATAGTCGTTATTATAGCGATGCTAGTTCTGTGAAACGCAGCACATTAAATAGTCGTTATTGTAGCGACACTGTTTCTGTGAAACGCAGCACATCAAATAGTCGTTATTGTAGCGACACTGTTTCTGTGAAACGCAGCACATTGAATAGTCGTTATTGTAGCGATGCTGTTTCTGTGAAACGCAGCACATTAAATAGTCGTTATTGTAGCGACACTGTTTCTGTGAAATGCAGCACATTAAATAATCGTTATTGTAGCGACACTGTTTCTGTGAAACGGAGCACATTAAATAGTCGTTATTGTAGCGACACTGTTTCTGTGAAACGCAGCACATTAAATA